CTTATTGCCAGCATTGATACTGGTGGTCGATCAGCACCACCGACCAGTCCCCTTCCAAGCCTAAATTTCACCCAAAGCTTCTTTTTCACCCCATTTTCACGAATCTAGCTCCATTTTTCACAAATCAACCTTCATGCTTCTAAATCTAAAAACCAAGCTGGAGGCTTCAACCTCTAAAAGCACCAACTTTCGTCATTCCAAACAACCCCAAATTTTAGTATGTTGTTTTCTTCATTGTGGTCTTCCTTTTCATTAGTTTAGATTAGCTAAAAACTCCTAATTGTTGTTGATCTCTGTGCATTGCCACACCTTGTGGTATCGTTCACAACATGCCACACCTCTACACCTTTAACCTTTTCTCCCTTTTTTTGACAATCAAGGCTTATGCCTGTTGTAATTTGGCCAAATCGAAACCTCAAAGTTCATATTTTGTTCATGCAATTTGCTTCTAATTTTTTTGAATTTTTTTGTTGCTTTCAGTGTTACTTCTCCTCACACTCGGGGATGCATTTTTATTGTGTTATTTTTTTTTGTTCAGGTTGTCAAGGCAGTAGGGGGCTATCGATGGTTTCGATTTGGTTAGGATGGTGGTTTGGGGATGGTGATGAGGGGCTGATGGTTGTTTGTGCCGGTGGCTTGGTGTTTTAGGCAGTGTTTGAGTGGTGGTGGGTAGTTTAGGTTGGCTTCTAGTTGAGGTGAAAAAGCTAGGTTTTAGGCACATGCAAGAGCGATTTTTACTGATGGAGGTAGCGAGATGTGGGACAGTGGTGGCACTTGTGGAAGGGGATTGGGTTCGAGGCTATAGGTTCTCAAAAGAGGCATCGGTAGACATCACTTTGTCTACTTAGACATAAACTTGCTTAAGACAGCTATTCTTCCAATTAGCCTCTGCACTTCTTTCATCAAGGTCGATGCTTTCATGTCTCAGATTGTTTAGACCTACTCTAGGTTCACCTTTATCCCCCTTTCTTAAATTATATAGTTTAGGAATTTACCCGACGTGACTCTAAAAGCACACTTGCTCAGATTAAAACTTATGTTGTATTTTTTAAAAGTATCAAAGGTCTCTTCAAGGTCTTTTAAGTGCTCGACCAGGCTCATGCTTTTTACTATGGTCAATCTAATTTTTGAAAACCTTGTTGACCAGTCTTTGTTAGGTTGCCCTTGCATTTTTCAAACCAAAGGATATTACCTTGAATCCGTAAAAACCCTTCTCGATGATTAAAGCTATTTTTTTTTATCTTTCTTCAACATTTTAATTTAGTCATAGTCGGAATAGGTGTCTGTAAAACTGAGGAGGTCATGCTCGGCTCTATCGTCTACTAGTCAATTTATGTTGGGGAGAAAAAAGTCATCTTTTAGGCATGCTTTATTGAGGTCGGTAAAGTCAACATAAATATTTCATATTTCGCTATATTTTTTTATCATGACAATATTGGTTATCAACTCGATGTAGTAGACCTCCTTGATGAAACCTACTTGTAATAGTTTACCGACCTCTTACTTACTAGTTTTTTATCTTTTTGGGGCAAAGGTCTTCTTCTTTTGTTAAATTGATTTCATGTTTGGGTTGGTGTGCAACCTATGGACCATTACCTCAATGTCAATCCTAAGTATGTTAGATGGTGTCTAGGTGAATAAGTTGGCATTATTCCTTAAAAATTGGATTAACTACTCTTTATGTTCGAGTTTAATTCCAATATGCATGTATTTTTCAAGGGTGTTTTCCTAGAATATGATGGATACAAGGTCTTCTACCGACTTAGGTTAATTTTTATTTACCTCGAGTTTTTGATCAATTATTTCTTTTTGTTTAGTTAGGTTGGTACTACTTCTTGTGGAGACAAATCTGATGTAACAATTAGTATATTATTAATAAAATGAGCAACATGTAGAACTAAACAAAATGCGTATATATTTCATTTCAATTTGTCAATTTTGTTTCTTTAGCCAGAGTGTTAGCTCGGTCTATTAACACATAAATATTCATGTCGACTTAAGAGCATAGTCACTTTTAAGATTTATTCAAAAATTATACAAAATTATTATGTATCTTTTGTTAGAGTGGAGCTTAAGGGCTCAGAACAGCTTAAAGGTGTGCTTTTATCAGGTTGATTTTTTATTGTTGTGGTTGCTTACTCATATTTTCCTGTTTTTCTTCAGTTTATGTTACTTTTCTTTTTTAACTTTCTCAGCCTTAGTCGAACTGCTAGTTTGCTTCCTAGTCATTCCTTTCATTACCATGACATAACATTATTGTGCCTTGGTTTCCCCTCATCTTTCCAACCTTATAAGGCATTAGAAACTTTACTTTCTAATGAGAAGCTGAGCTTATAAGTTGCATAATAGATTGGCTAGGTAGCCTAATATCATATTATAGATAGATGGAATGTCTACAACCATGAATTTGATGACCAATGTGACTATCCTCAGTTTCATCTCCAAAGAGATTAGTAATTTGATAGCCCTTTTTACTAGTACATGTTCATCCTTAAATTTGATCAGAGTTATGGTGATCGATTACAATTAATCTTCCTTAATTCCAATCTTTTTCATGGTGGAGTGGTCCATGATGTCTGTTGAGCTCTCTTTATCAAACTAAATCCTTTTGACTACGTAATTGTACACCACTTGTGTTATCACAATGGCATTGTCATAGGGGTATTGGATTGCTTCAAAGTCTTTTGAACTAAAAAAGATCGGTTCATCTTTCTAGTCTTTTTTTTTTTTTGCTTAAAAGCCAATGGTTATGACCATTCCTTGGTCAAACTTCTTTTTGATCAAGGTACAGCTTCCCCTAGTGATCATGTTAATTACCTTGACAATTGGTCTATTATCGCCAACTCGACCCTCTTTTTACCTTTGCTCATCTTTTCAAACCTTTCTTCTCATATTTTTTTCTAGTTTGCCATTCTTGTCCCTTGTAGGTTTTCTTCGATCTTTTTTGTAGTCTAGCCTATTCTGCCTTTACCTTCGTCAGTCCATAAACCTTCCTAGCTAACCTCTTCTAAATAAAGCTTCAATCTAATTTTTCAAGTTGACATAGTTGTCAATGTTGTGGCTTATGTCTCTATGGAAAGTATATATTTTGGTTGGATCCCTCTTCGTGTTTTGCCTTAATGGTTGTGGCCATCTAAGCTTTAGATTTCTTTTAATTTGTATCAGAATCCTTTCTTGGAAGGTATTCAATGGTGTGTAGTTTCTTTCTCCATTAAGACTCCTAGTCTTATATTGTCTCCTTTTTTAAGGAGGATCATAGAAATCCTTACCTTTTTTACGATTGAAGAAGGGGGATGAGCCTCTCTCACCTCGGTTATTTATCATTGTAGCTTCAGCATTTATGTATTTCTCAACTAAAAGTAGGGTGTTGGCCAAAGTTTTGGGTGGCTCTAAGGACAAGGTCAACTTGAAGTGATACTCTCTATCATTGAGTCCACTTGTTAAGGCAACTATAATAACCGTTTGTTCTAGGTCTTTTACCTATAGGGCTTTCGTGTTAAAACGCATGACATAATCCTTCAGAGATTCATTTTGGCCTTGATGAATCGATGACAAGCTTAACATTATCTCTTTCATTCTTCAGCTACTCACAAATTGGGATAATAAAGAGTGGCTAAGTTTTTTAAATGTTGCGGTTGACCTCAGTTTTAAGCTGTTGTACCAGGATCTAGCTGCGCACTTGAGGGTAGTAGCAAGGCCTTTACATAAAAGAACTTTGTCTGCACCCTGCATCATTATATTAGTTCCATAAAGTTTCAAGTGATCAGAGGGATGAGAAGTATTGTTATAGGTTTTTAAGGTCAGCATTTTGAACCCTTTTAAACGCATAGCTCTGTCAATTTTTTTAGTGAAAGGCAAGGTCTCAAAAAATTTAAGCTCATTCTCAAAAGCTACCACCTTTGCTTTTTGCTCTTTCTCCATAACTTGTATCCGAGCTTCTAGGTCTTTGTTTGGTTAGGGTTCTAGATTGGTTTGTTTTGATATTTGGATTGTAGCGTGTGTTGAGTTGTGACTAGGGTAATGGTGAGCGGCAGGAATATCATATTCTTTTTCCCTGACAACCAAGAGGCTTCTACCTCTTCAAAACTTGGTTGTTTTTCCATGGCCTATTAGCCAAGGGTAACCAGGTCAAGTACCTTTAAGGCTTGTGGTGGGGTTATAGTTTATAACATTTGCTTATGGGCTTATATGTGCTTGGCTAGAGCTTGGAACTACTTCATGGTCAGACTAGCCTATTGTGAGCAGGTCAGTTTAAGTGCTGACTATTGTGTGTTTTTGTTTCGACTAGGATGGTCGTCTCTTTTTCCTCCAAAATTTTCTTCCTAGATGGCATTGTCTTATGCTAGGCTAATAAATAGAAAATTCCTTACCTAACACACTAAATGTTTGTGCTGAGTTCCGACACGAGGGTATTCTTGGAAGGGCAAGAAAGGGAAGAGAGCGGTTAGGTGCAAAAGCATGGAGTGTTCTCTGTGTTTGTACTCCGATGCACAAATTAGATATCAAAATAAACGAGGTCAGAAGGAGAAAAAAAATATAGGATTGGGACAAGATGGAACCTGAGATGATAATGATTGGATGTTTATATTTATAGATGAGAGACAGGGGACCGACGAAAGACAAAAATAACATGACCGAACTGATATGACACTGAACATATTAGATTGACTTAACATGCTCAAAGGTCTGAAATACCCTTGGTTATTTGCCAAGAATCTCTAATGGAGAGAAAAACAATCATGTCCTTTGAATCACTAAATCCCCCCAGTGGTATCATTGGATGTTACGATAACGTACAATGTTGGAGGCATCTACAAGTATTTTGCACACTTTGAAATTTCTACTAAGAACAATGAGATCTTTTTTATATCTGTTTATTATATCTGGTTTGCAAAGTGCCGATTGATACAACAGTAGTATAGTTTCTGCTCTCCACCGGTATTGCTAGAGAGCACCATAAAGAAAGCATTCTTGGGTCAATGGGCATCCCTCTTGCCATTAATGCTAGAACAATTTGCAGATATGAGAAGGGAAAGGAATGTCAATGAACAAGCGCTTGAAAAATAAGGCTGATATAGCTAATTTGTAAGTAATGTTACTATCATCCTTTCCCTTGTTTCTGTAATCGAATTATAATAAGAGCATTACTAGAATACTTATGATCTATTGATTCTTCTAGTTGATTGGAGAATTTAGACCCTCTTGAGAAGACAGTGAATGGAGAGCTTGGTGCCTCTTGGACGGAAAGGCCGATGTTTTCCTGAAAGAAGGTCTTTCTTTTAGATGCTGTAAAGTTCGCTTCACATAAAGAGTTCGAAACAAAGGTGAGACCCTTTCCTTGAACTTGATAATGACAAAGAAAAGAAGTCTGTAAGCTATCAAAATCATTATAACAGCTGCTAAATCCCACCACTTTGAATGATCCAGCCGAATGCCAAGCATGGTTGTGAGGACAACATCACCTTTCAGTTTTGGACCACCAGGGATGAATCCATCAAACTCCAGCCCTACCATATCGTTTTTGTATGCTCCCTGCATTCTCCATTTTACAGAAAGTCAACTCAAATAGTTTGATTGGGACATTGTTGCATTCAGGTTCTAAGTGCTATGCTTCATTTCCTATGCATAATTTAACTCTTGTACCCTGTTGCTTCACAAGGTAAAATTTTCAAATAGAAGACTCATTTTGGGGTTTAGGAGGAAAATTACTTGCAACATCCAAATAATTTTCCGGAATGTTTCTCCTTTAAAGTGGTTAAATAAGCTCCAAGAAAAAAAAATGATTTTTGTTATTTCTCATTTAAGGTATTGTATCAGCAGATAATCCAATTAGGTTTCCTTTGAGTCCACAAAAATATCAAATTAGCAGACATTTCATGCCCTAGACATAGAGCAAATGAAACATCGAGAAGTATAGCCTTTTCTTTTTATTTTTTCAGGATGCATCGAGTAGTATAATCTTGGTTTGTGCTGTTGAGTAAGCATCCTTTTTCTCATGTTTTCATTATAAACTGCTGTAATGTTGCTTGTCAGTTAATCTCTGCTCAGTGAAGTTTATTTCTTGGTTATTTGAATTAAATATCTATTGAGGTTTTCCTAGATTTAGTTTATAAGACATGTTCTAAAGCATGGCACTCCAATAAAAATTACCTGTAATGCCCATGCACCATAGTTGATATATGAAACAGGGTAACGCCAGAATATCTTAGGGAGATCAGGCAGCAATCGGAAATACCCGGCCGTCATCATCATTAAACCCTGTTGTACAAACAAAAATTACTGATGATTATAAACAAGTATGAAATAGTTTTAAGACATTAATGGAGGAGCTCTTAAAAAAATTCTGAAATTACAGTTCTTACAATATATCCAGCTCCAATGATGACTCCCATCATGAAGTTAGGAACTAATGATGCGATCATCATCATGCAGCTCTCTACAGTTGCAATGGAGATAATAAGATCAAGGGAGGCATACATAAAATGTGAAATTCCTGGACGAAATTTCACCATGTAATAAGTAATTGATGATGTAGCAAGGGACATCACAGTCAAGTATGGAAATGAAGATAGGAAATTTGAGAGTATATAAACAGCAATCCCATAATGTCCATTGCGTCTTTCTCGATGAAAAACCTATGTCAAAAACAGAAAAAAGAATTATTGAAAGCTTAGTAACATTAGTGTCATGTTTGCCTAGTAAATCTTTGGTTACTTTCATCATCCCTTAACCCTCAATAAGATTACTTACCTTAAGTTCTTCAATGAAGGATGGGAAACCTCCTATAGACATGAATGTCATGAAACCTGATATGAAACCGCCACAGGCCCCACGAGCTAAGATTGCATTGTAGCTTGTTCCAATATTGAAAAAAATCGTGCCAACACAAATAGATAAGGCCACATAGATGGCTATCCTTAACCAGTAATACCCCAAATCTCTAGACATGTTTACAAAGGACCTCTGTGTCAATGTTGATAGTTGCTTCAACCATGTTGCTTCGCTGCTGTGCCTTTTTTCAATCATGAGTCCCTCCTGAAATGCAAGTAAGTAAAGGCTTAGGAACTATTCATGGTATATTCTATCTACTTGACATATTTAAGCCAGTTCTGAGCAAATCATAGGCGTTGTGAGGAAGGAAACTCATGTTTATCTATTTTATTTTTTTGGTAAAATGTTTCAGTTTGTTTAACCAAGGCCGTTGAAGCTTGTATAGAAATGCCTTTCAACTATAAATCATATTAATTCACTAAAATCAGTGGCATGGGTAAAAGAAGTGAAAAGAGTGAGATAACTTGCATTTTAAATAAACTAAATTTTAGAAGTCTTGCTTGCCAACAAATCCAAAGGACATAGGTATACGGTAAAAACTAGTGCATCTTAGAAGATGTTTCATGACTAAGTTTGAAATGCTTACAATGGTTGAGATTTCTTGAATTCTTGCTCTTGCCTTTGCCACATAATCTGAGCTTCTGTATTTCTTAACAAGCAATGCTTTAATCTGTGCTGTTGCTAAGTTTGTCAAAGGATCCGAGGTATTTTGAAATTCCTGCAGTTCATAAATGAGAAACATTTTTAACCATGACAAAATTGAGATTTATCAATTGCAGGATCAAAAACAAAAATTCTAATTGGACTTTGCTGCATAATGTAAGCTCCTATGGTTTCACTTTGAAATGATTAGAACTATGTTGTATTATGAAAATCTATTTGGCTCATAATGAAGAATATTGATTGAAAAAAAAAAGGTTTCTAAGACCAATAACAGTTAGTTATAGGGTTTTTGCTTGGCCTGGGACATTGGTTTATCATTCTTGTTCCTTATTTAAAATATGAAACTGTCTTATAAAATTGTGATACTGTACTGCATTTTTTTGGTTGCATGTTAAAAATACAGGGAAAAATAAATTTCATAAAAGCGCAAGGAAACTAAGGGACTGCTAAATGGGTAGATTACTATGTTGATATCTCTTGATAAATATGAAACTGTCTTTCAACATTGTGATACTATACTGCATAGTTTATTTGTTGTATGTTAAATCCAGGGAAAAAGTTCATAAAAATGCAATGAAACCAAAGTGCGTGCTAAATGGGAAAATTACTATGTTGCTATCTCTTTGAATAAAGAAAATGAAAAGCAAAGAAAATGCTACCGCATGCATACAGATATTCTATGAGATCCCTTCAGAGCCTCTGCAACAACATCAAAATCTGAATTTATGCAACGAAGGAAGTGATCTGAAGGATTTCTCCGACTTGGACATGGAAATCCTTCTTCAGCAAAGAACTGCAAAATCAATTCTATAAGTAGAAATGAACAAATTTATTTTCATTTATATATTTTTAAAGTGATGAAACACTATTATATAGGAACAAGTTTGATGAGATTGTCGAGATATTTAGAGTTCAATCTTGCATATAGGAAAATATGTATTATCTCATACCTTTGCAGCCATTTTTGCCTCTCCAAAATAAACTTGTTCTCCACCGGAGAGTAAAAACAGGTCATCAAAAAGTGAGAATACTTCACTACTTGGCTGATGGATTGAAGAGATGACAGTTCTGCCATCACGGCTAACATTCCTAAGAGTTTGTATCACAAAAAAGGCCGAGGCACTGTCTAGGCCACTAGTAGGTTCATCAAGAAACAAGAGATGGGGCCTTGTGAGGATTTCAAGTGCAATGCCTAGTCTTTTTTTCTCCCCACCGCTTACACCCCGTAGGTGCCAGTTTCCAAGAAGCCTATCAGCACACTCTTGAAGACCCATTTCTATGATTGTTCCCTCCACAATGCCATCAATATCTTTTCTGGTCATTGATGATGGGAGCCTCAAATGAGCAGAGTAAGTTATGGTTTCTCTCACAGTTAGAGTTCCCAAAAGTATGTCCTCTTGAGTCACATAAGCCTGAATTTTCAGAATAGACAACTCTTTAGTGAAGAGCAATGCCTTATGGTTATATAGTTGGATTCATTGCTATATTGTTCTTGCCACATGGAATCCCAAATTTTTCGAGGCCATTCAATTTCTCATATTTATAATTGCTATTAGGATTTTCATATCAAGTTAAAATGGTGTGTTTGGTACTTACAACACTACCGTAGTCTAGCCTTTTCTTCCCGTTAAGAAGAACATTTCCCATCATGACAACATTTCCAGAGAGTCTACCTGCATAAATTTCAAAGATTACCTTGATGTTCAACACTAGAATGCAAATGTCTGCGCACTCATACAAATGCATGTAAATGTAGGTCACTAAGTCAGGCTCTGTTTGTGTTCTCATCATTCTTCTCAATGTAAAGAGAGAATAAAGGGTAAAATTCAGTTTTATAGTTGCATAATAACCATCGGAGCTTTAAAAATGCTGAGACCATTCTAGTAATCAAACTTTGGTACCACAGGACCTGGATCATATATATACTCATTCAGCTTATTCAATCCTAGTGGGCTAGGCTAGACCATTTGTTATGAGACATATGAATGAATTTGTCTTGGCTCTTTAGGAAACAATGTTGGAAGGTGGAACCTCTTTTAATACGAGAACTCTCTAGTAGTATATATGGATTGTACTCTCTCTTTATTGTACTTAAACAAATTCATCCCAATCTATTGTGGGTGGAGAAAGGGAAATGGCTAGAGCGAATTGAATTGATGAGTGATAAATCATTATTCATTTACCGTATATACTTTAATTTTAAATTCTTAAAAAGATTTAACATTAACGGTAAGGATGAAGACTGAAGACTGGTGTTAAGATTAGTATGTGGATCACTGCTAAGTTCATGCCTCAAATGATTGGATAGATGCTTGTATAGTCATTTGGAGTCCAAATGAATATGATTAGGCTTGCAATCATACGCACAGTTATCTGAAGGTGTGTTTAGCATAGTCTTAACATGTACTTACTAAGCGATACCTATTTGCATCTTAAATTCAACCACATATAATAAGCCATGATATTTACTAGGAGATCGAGCATGGAATAGGATGGGGAATGATGTTTTCTCTTGATACTGACATTACAGGTTGTAGTGGCCTAGGCATTGGATGCAGCTGCAGCCTACAGCACCCTAAGCCTTTCTTTTTTCTTGAATCAGTAAATTCTGTGTTACCCAAATTTATTGCTGCAGTTGAAGCAAGAATTTAAGGGGGTAGCGGGATTAACAGTATTAGCCGTTTTAATGGCTCATCTTTGGGTGGTTAGATCAGCTATAAAATTTCGCAGCTGTTCCATGTCGTTCAACCAGCAGTAAATTAAAATAGTACAATCCAATCAGACTAGGGGAACTGGAATCCCTTGTCAGTAAAAAATGGGCGTAGCAGTAGAAGAAGCATTTTGGTTTAAATTTAGCCAAGTGCCTAGTTTGAAGTATATTGCAAACTACATTTAGGCTCTATTTTCATTCTAGTTAAAGATTCTTAGAAACTCTGAAAATATTTTTGTTGTGGAGCATTTAGCTCAATGGTTTGTGCTTGTATTCTCTACTCACAAGAGTGAAGTCGGAATCCCATTTTCTCCAAAATGGAAAAAAAAATGCTTATAGTGTCATGAATGTGTATTAAGAAGCTAGGGGCACAATAGCCTAGCGTGATCAATCCCCGACTGTGACAAGGTCATTGATCTCCTATTTTTTAATATATAGATAAAAAAAAAGATTATAAGTATTGAAATTTAAATGTCAAATCTATTAGATATTACCTCTCACGGTAGTGTTTAGTATCTTTTACAAGATTATCAGGATAATATAATTATTGAAATGATTTTATTACCAAGATGATTTTAACACTCATGATTTGAAATCACTTTGTTTGATTAGTAATGATTAATTTTTAAAAATTAAAAATAATCATATTTGTTGTTAGTAAAAACCAAACATTAGTTTGTTTAAAAGTACGAAAATAATAATACATATTGTAATAGGTACATAAAATAATAATTTTATAGTTATTTAAAGATAATAATTTGTAAAATATTAATAATATTTATTTATTTTATAATAAAATATAATAAAAAACTTAAATTAATAAATATATTAGTGATAGGTAATTTATTTTTATAATATAAATTATGAAAAAATATTTAAATTAGAAAATGAAACCAATTTATTAACTTCATAATAAAAGAAAAATAAAAAATTATATTATATAAAATATTTTTAAAAAAATCTGATCATTCTTGGTGATTCAAAATTATCGTCATATAAGATCACAAAATGCTTATCAAGTACAGTAATCTAATTACTATGTGCAGATCGCTTTAGTTTTTAAAGTAATCACTTCTTATCAAATACTACTTAAAATTAATTATATGAATCAAATGAATTAAATTTCACATGTATATATATTTTTGTTTTATATGCTATAGTTAATTCAACCTTAGGACACCAATTACAATTATGATAACATATACTGGCATCCCTGTTAGTTTGATTTGAATGAATGCCGCCCTAATTACCATGTTTATATTCAAGTTTCATACCATTTATGGAATGAAGTAAAGAGCATCCCGAGAAGGATGTCCCAATAATAGCCTTTTCTCAACGACCCAAAGAATGGATTTATTAAGACAGAAGACTGCAGTACTCAAGCATTTGGCTGAATGTTCGTTGCTTGTATTTCCTTGCTCAAAGAGCTAACCTCAAATCCATCCTCAAATCCGAAAAGAAAAAAAAATTGCAGCATAAAAGATTGCATGGAGTTTACTTACCATAATACGTGCATGCTTCAACACAGGCTAATGAATGAATGAAAGAAAAAAAATGGTAATCTGAAAAAGCTATTATTATAAATCTATAATCAATATTCTTGATCTGTGTTCACGTGTGGGTGCATATGCATCAATGCGTGATAGATGCATAGGGAGAGAGAGCGAGAGAGAGAAGCCAAACCTGCTAATGCATCAAGTAGAGTAGATTTTCCAGACCCAGATGGACCCATGATTGCCATGATCCTACCTGGTTCAGCAGACCCAGTTAGTCCATTAAGCAATCTCCTGGTAGGTCCATTGCCAAAGTTTGGCAGCACCACCGTCAGATCTTCCCAAACCAAGAACATATTTCCTTCACCTCTGCCTCTTGGCAACCCTTCCTCATGAGGTTGTGCTCCACCATTAACGGCGTCGGATCCAACGCATGGACCGACATGTACCTCCTCTATCTCCTCCTCAGCCATAAAATATCTATCAAAAGGAAAAAAGCAAAGAAACAATGCAGCATGTATAGCGGAAGAAATGAACAAGCAAAGCAGCAACAATAAATATTTCTTTCTCTACTTTCAGGTCACAGAGTGTCAGAAACAGATATTTGGCGCTGGTGAGGAATTTAGTTCGGAGAGTAAATTTGTCACCAAACCTTAATGAAGAAAAGAAGAGAGATAACTAAATACAAAGAACAAACGGTGTGCTAATCTGCTAGGTTGCTACCATATGGTTGATCCGTGAGTGGAGTGAAACGCATCAACCGTGATCATCAAAACCTTCACCAATGTGCTTCCTTAAATAGAGAGATGTGGCAACGAAGAAATTAAGTGAGTAGGTAGTAAATAATATTATTCGTTGAAAAGGGCATACCTTCACTTTTAACACGCTTCTCAGACAACCATAAAGATTTATTTTTTATTATTTTTTATTTTTTATAATAGAGTTAAAGGTGTCCTTAAATTTTGCTTCAACTTAATTAATATTTCCTAATGTATTTCACACTTTCGATTAAAGCAATGAAAATCTTTATTACTTTTCAAGTAATAATGGAAAATAGTGAATCATCTCCACTATTTTTTAGTTTTTAAGTGGTGAAAAAGATTTTTTTTTCTTTTTATGAAGATAAATATATAAAAATATTAAGTAAAAAATTTATTGAAACGAATATTAAATTTATATTTAATTGAAAGTGCATAACATTATTTTAGATAAAATAATAAAAACTTTCACTATTTTTAAATAATAAAAAAATTTGGCCGAAAAGAAGCAATAAAAAAGTATTTGAGGGAAATGTTTTCCTTAAGGTGCTCTATTTTACATCAGTGTCATATATTCAAAATTTTATTTTTAAAATACTCAAAATGAGTCACTAGTTAACAAGAAAAGAGAATTCATTTCTCAACAGTATTACTTGTGGTAATCATAAAAATTTATAATTGCATAGTAAATTTCATAGAATATATTTTTCGGGTTTTATTAATAGATGTCAGCAGTGTCTTATGGTCACTTACTTCAAAATTTTAAGTAGCAACAATTTATTTATTAAATATAATGTTGACATTTTTTTAAAAAAAATAAAGAAGATAATGGTTAAGATGATATTCAAGAAAAAGAAAAAAAAATAATTGTATTAGTTTTTTGAATTTGATGAAAACAATATATTAAATATAATTTTTTAAATAATATTTTAGCTAATATATGTACCTGTAGACATATATTTACAAATATATAATAAAATGTCGAGTCAAAATCCTTGTTTTTCGTTGTTTAAAGGTAAAGGGGTGATATTAAATGTAATATTAACAAACAGAGGTAAATTTTGTTGGAGTTAGTAATTGATACAGCTGCAGGTGAACTAAATACAAAGGTAAATTTAATATTAAAAAATGCAGCAACGAGGAGTTCCTCCTGCCAACTAAACCTCTGCCATGTCGAACCAGTGTTTTCTTTGGGCTGCCTCCACGGCACATTAAAAGCATACGCGTTTTCTATTTTTATTTGAGAAAAAATTATATGAAATTATTATGTTATGTTAATAAATATTTTTTATTTAAATTATATCATATAATTATATTATTAAAAAAATTAATTAATTTATTAAAATAAATGTTTCTAATTTAATTATTACATATTATATATAATAAATAAATATTTTTTATTAATATAATTACATGATTTGAATAAAAAAATATTTAATATAATGTAAGTGTTTTATACAATATTTTTTCTATTCAAAGAACTCCATAAGTCGGTGATGGTGCCATAAAACACACACAAATTATTTATTTTCCTAATTTTCTTTCACTTTTTTCTTTTATCTAAAAATTATAAAAAAGTTTCTATACCTAAAATAATATTTGATACATAAAATGATAGATATGATAATATGATAATTATTTTATATTATATTTTTTTATCTAACTGAAAGAGATAAAATTATAAGAAGAGTTGGTGGTGATGCCATAAAACACACATTATTTTTTTCCTAATTTTCTTTTGCTTTTATTCTTTTATCTAAAAATTATAAAAAAGCTTCTATACCTAAGGTAATGTTTGATACGTACGATGATGAATAAGATAATATGATAATAATTTTATATTATGTTTGATTTGTATCTAGCTGAAATTGATAAAATTATAAGGAAGATTATTATCCTTTTGGTACAAGATAATTCAATCTTTTCAAAGTTGAGATAGTTATTTTTAATCTATAGGATTAAATTTACATATTATATTATACCTTTAAAATTACATTAATAATTTAAATTGTATAAACTATGATAAGGTATAATTTTGACCAATAAATAAATTATCCTATCTTAATTCTTGCACATATTAAATATAAAATAGAATGATATTATTTAATCTAATTCTATTCATAATATCATCTTATTTTATTTTATCATAATTTTGTGTAACAAACATGACCTAAATACCTAAGATATTGATTGGGATTCTTTCCTATATTGAATCAAGCTCAAGTAACGTGTTTAAAAGTTTATTTAAAATATAAGTTTATTTAAATTTATTAATACAATATTAAAAATATTTTATGTCAATAATTTATTATTTTAAAATTTATTTCAAAATTAAATTTAAATTAAACATAAATATTTAATAATAAAATATTTTCACCAATAAAGTCAAATTAAATTTGAAAATTTTTGTTTAAAATTCAATTCTGGTCAAATCAAGTCTCACAAGTAATTTGACTCTTGAACAAATATAAATGACATGTATATTGGATAGACTTTTGAAAATTATGTGTTTAAGAATATTTAAGTCTATAATCTCATCCTAAAATGAGTTAAAGTCAATAGATATGGTGGGTTATGAATAAATTAAAATTTTTAAAAAATAATTTTGTAGTAAATAACTAATAGTTAATATGATAATGTAAAATCTTATGGATAGACATTTTCAAAAGAAATATGAATAGACAATAGATTAATTATAATTCTTTTTATAAATATCACTTCAACTAGTGTATAGTGACAATGCTTAATAATTGTCAGCTTAATATAGTGAAGTCTAAAAATTTCCATTAATTTGATAAAGTTATATTAATTAGATGAAATTGTTTATCTAGGTAATCCATTGCGTTAACTGTTTTGGAGTAAGAAAGTTTTATGGATTTTAGTGATTAAAATTTAATTTTTTATAATCTTAAGTAAAAAAATAAATATTTTCAATATATTATTAATATAAATATAAATTATTTCAAGCGCAACAAAATTTGATTTATATTTATTTTGGGTAGAATATTACTTTTATCTTTACATTATGGATATTAAAAAACTCCACATAAGAATCAAACGTTGATAATTGACAAGAAAAAAAATTTTCTTTTTTATCTCTTGAACTAATTTTAGTAAGGTATTATTTTTAATATTTAAATCACAACTCTCAATTAGTTTAATAAAATATGAAGACATTTTTTTCGCTGAAATCTATATTTAAATGTTGATTTCTACTTTTTAAAATATGAATAAATTTTTTGCTGTACGGAAAAAATCCTAAAATGAGTTCCCACTGTGGCTGCAAATGATAAAACCCTAAGTCCCATATCCCTCTAGTTATTTAGTCTTCTCAGTCCCATATCCCTCTGATTGGTAAAAGTTTTTTGTTTTGTTTTTTTTTTTTTTTTGGCAAAAAAATTAGTGGAAAGGTAAAAAAATTGAAAACAAATAGCAAAAAACAAACTACCAAAAAAACTGAAGGTTTCATTCAACCTATGGATCATGGGTCTGAAACTTTGATGTTACATTGAACAAAATCTCATATGCCAATATTGCTTTTAATTGATCTGTTTTAACACCCCTAAATTCACCTGCATACTTCTTTTTCTTGTGTTTCTTCGTTGAGATTTCAATGACGGGAACTCCCCATTCCCTCGAGTTAAATTAATAAAAAATAGGAGTAGTTCAGTGCAAAACAAGAGAATTTGGAAGAGAAGGGAAGATAAAATTTTATGTATTTAATGTAAATATTATGTAACGTAATAATTGGACAAAGAAATAGTGAATTTTTAGTAACGAAGAAGATCCTCTTCCATTAATTTTAGTCACTATGTCAAAGTTCATTCAGGTTCTAATTAATTATTTTCACCAAACTCTCATCAATACAATCATGTGTGATGTTCCGCCCATGGAGGAATTGAGAGTGAAGTTTGACAATGAAGGCTTCCCTATGTTAATTTCTATCTGCATTTTAAGTTACGATGATATTATTGGGTTGAATGAGTCGGTAAATATCTAATACTTTATTTATAAAATTTAAATTTAAATTTTATTGTTAATAATCTTTTTTTGGATGATGTGTAAATTTAATTTAAATTTTTTTAAGCTTGAGGTCTATTTGATTTTAGAATAAAAAATCTCCTCTCACCTTATTTTTTATTATTTTTTTAAAACTAAGTTTAACTAGAAGCCAAAGAAGGAAAAAATGCAATTTCATTTTCCCTATGTTAATACATTTGATATCTTGGTAAGGGACAAGGCACGTTGGTTTTTGTTTCCACATTTATAAATAATTAATTGTTAACAATGCTCCATTTTCAAGTCGAAGTTGCATCTGGTCGAACATTTGGTAATTTAATGGAAGATGCAAATTATCTCTTGATAAAAAAATAAGTTCGGATGGATTTTTTATTTAACAAATCTAAATGAAAGGCATGTAGTTATGTAGATATGGAGCTTACAAAAGAACCATTGTGATGTCCTTTGAAGACGAACTAGGGTTAAGTTACACAAGACATCATAATAATTCTATGTACTAAAAAAGGAGAATTTATTAATTAATATACCTAGCTTCATCCATGTGTCTAATAGAGTATTACCTAACGTTTGTAAAGATGCTATTTATCCAATTTGATAATGTTGGAGCTAAGCTCAAACTGAAGGATAAAAATCTAAAAGTATAAGTATGAAGTCAGTTAGGAGCAAAAGTTGGAATTGTTTCTAATATTTGTGCTTCGATATTCAAGTCAGTGAAGTAAATGAGAAGAAAAAAACCTCAGAGTTAAAAATGAGAGAGTTAAGAGAAAAATTGGCTCTCACTTGAAGGGAGTGAAATGTATTTA